GAGAGAAGTGGTTGCTCCCGCTACAGCTGGAGCTCCATGTTGCACCACTCTCCACCACCCCTGCTCCACGAGGTGCAGGAGGGCACTGGGGCAAGAGGGGTTCGGCAGTCCCGGGAAGGGCAGCCAGGGGCCTGTCCTTCCTGACTGCAGGGGCATCTCTTCATTTCCTCGGATACGGCCTGATTTCCCAGAGTCGGGGTGGGGCTGCTGTGCCAAGTCGAGGTGGGATGATTTATGACAGAGGATGGAAGCAAAGGAAATCTCCCACGGAAGGGAAGGGCACGGGGCATCTGCATCTGCAGCGAAGGGCAAGAAGTGGTCTCCACGCTCCTCAGCCCACAGTCAGCCCTCAAACTCTTGGGTGAGCCCACTGGCCGCTGCCGGGCTGCGAGTCGGTCTCTGGGGGGAGGCTCCACGTCCCTGCCTTCCGGAGGCCGAGGAGAGAAAGGCTGGTGCCCGGAGATGGGCAGAGTTTGAGGGGTGGTGGGGTCTCGGCCTCGGCTCTGCCCTGTTTCCCCAGGCAGCGAGGAGCTGGGCAGGCGGCACTGCGCGCTCACATCCGCGGGGCACGACTCCCATCCCCGGCGCGGCAGCCGCCAGCCCCTGCCCTTAATGAGATTCTTTGAAATCCAAAAAAGCGAGATTTAATGTTACATCCTTATCTTTGGAGGAGCGTGGTTTTCTTGCCGCGGCGACGTCACTTGTTAAACAATCCGTGGCTGAGCCCCTGAAAAGACAGGCATTGCACCCTTCGTGCTGAATGCGCTTCTCAGTGCACATAACGCCAGGGCCTTTTGATGTCTCACAATGCGTGTTACGCCCAAAGATTGTCTCTTTGGACAGATCTACAACGCTTGGCTTCATGTTTGGAAGTTAAATGGACAGCGAGGTTGTTGAAACTCCCACGCTTGAAGCTGGCGCAGACGCTCGGTACTTTCGCCCGTTACTTTCCCTGAGTGAAAGCGGCAGGGGTGGAGGGAAGGGGCTGCTGGTTTAATCCGTGCTCCGAGGCAAAGGGAGGGGGGAAAGCAACTCAGACCAAACTTTTCCCCTCCTTTCTTTTCTTCACTTTATTCTTTGGCAGCCTTAAAATAAGAGCTATGTGCAAAGCGTGCGCCCTGCCTAGGTAGCTTGTGTCTCGAAGTCTCTGGCAATGTTGCTGCTCCATGAAATCAAAATTTATGATTATTCAAATGTTGGGGACTGTGAAAAGAGAGGAAGAAAGAGAGAAAATTAATATTGCAGCTGTTCTTCTGATTAATGAGAGATAATTGCTCATGAAAAGTCACCCCTGTGGCATTTTGTTGTCTCCTGGATCTTTGTTCTTTTCCACTATTATTGAGGACTTTCTTGAAGACTAAGCGGTTCTTTTCAATTTTTGGTATTCAGAAAGTGTTGCTTGGTTACAGATAATGGAGAAATCTCGGGCTATATTGGGTAAGATGTGCCACAGACAGCAATATCACAATGCCACTTTTAGAAAAGGATGGATACAAGTTAACGATGCGCTTTCAATAAAACATTAATAGACTTGTTCACGCTTTTATAATGACCTCCTTAATGGGAGCTGGGGGCAAGTCCTGTCTTTTGCTTGCGTTCACTTCAGAACAGCCGGCGTCAAGATCGCTTATCACTTTGGAAAGTAATAGGAAATCAATGTTAGAGTAGCGAATAAACGCGATTATAGCGCAGGAGCCCGCGGCCCCTCGCTTACCCACGCACGGCTTTATTTTGAGCGGGGCTTTCCCGTACGGAAACTGCCCCAGCCCGGGGTGCATCCTGCCAAGCGCTGTTTGCGACCACGGCTACTCTGTGGGGATTGTTTTGGGGTTGCTGTTTTGGCTTTTTTTTTTTTCCTGGTCGAAACTTGTCCCCGGGCTGCGGCGCTTTCCACGGAAGCAGCTCCTCCCGTGAACTCAGGGGAGATGCGCGCCTAAAAGCCGTTGCTTTCGCCGAGCGGACATGGCTTTTTCTTCTGCCGAGAGCTGCGGGGGTTGGGGGAGGGAAGGGAAAGAGTTGCTTTGTCATTTAAGCCGTGAATCTCTTCTACATAAAGGTGTTAGAGACATCTGGAAGAAAAGAGGGACCAGCACCCAGTCCTGCGCTCGGCGGACCAGGGGAGCGGCTCTGATGTTCTTTTTGAACTGCTCCACTTTCAAAAGGGGGCAATTTCGTTACATTCTCATTTGTTACACTGTCTTGAACTAAAGGCAGACAAAGCTATACTCTGTCACCCCGAGCAGAATGAAGGGAATCAAAGGATTTTCCCTTAAAAGGACTAATTTTCTCCTTGAATTATGAAAGTAATGGCTAGGTAACAGCCTGTGCTCTGTACCCAACTGCTTAATACCTTCTAAATCCTTCCACGTGGCTCTCCCAGTCGTAGCAATTAGAGCTCATTATAGGCTCATAAGAGCTCTCATTTCGGGGATTACTTAATGGACAATGAAATTTTATCGGACAGAATTATTGAAAAATAAAATTGTAACGAGGCCGATGTGATGTGGGCGCACGCCTTGCATCATTCCGCCTGGTTTGGGATGTCTTTGCTTTCAAATGACTTCTTTTCTTGCTCTAGCTTTCAGGGGTGGGTTTTTCTTAGTGTTTTTGCCTCTCTCGCTCTCTCTCTTTTATCACTGCACTTGGTTTATTATAACAATTACAAATTGCAATTTTGATCTGACTCTTACTCTGTCTGCCTTCCCTTACGACAGCCCCTTCCCCAGATCCACTCCATCACTGCAGACAGCTTTTTCCACTGACGTTTGGGCTTATATTATTATTGTTGTTATTACTATCATTTTCCAGAATAGCCTCTCATAAAGGAAAGTAATATATGAATAAAAATAAAATAAAATAAAATGCAGATATTAACTCAAATCTTCTCCAGGTAAGTTGTGCTTCAAACGGGAGGAGCCAGACAAAGGAGTCCCATGCCTGTCCACGGTGACCGTGACTAGCATCTCACCGGCCCCACCGGAGCTCAGGAGGCAGAGCCCCCGTGTACCCCGGGGCCGCCGATCCCAGGGCCTCGGCGGCGGCACGGGCAGCAGTCCCTGGAGCTCTGGGGTCTGACGGCTCCGGAACCTCGGCTGGGCCCTCGACAGCGGTTTGGGGAAAAGTAGGTGAGGTCGGAGCCGACCGGCCTAAACCCCGCGAGCCCCTAATTGTTGTCACAAGACGCGGGATTAGCGCATTGCTGGAATAACTGCCTGTTTACACTCCGGAGCCCCCGCCGGCCGGTAAACACTTTCTAATTGAATTCTAATCACATTCAAATAGCTTCATAACCAGCCTCAGCTGCAATTCATAAAACTTTAATTGCCATCCATAAATCCTCAGATTGCTGAGTGCGGAGTGTCCCTAAAAACACTGTTGCATCGTGCATGCTCGGGGAGGGGGAAGGCGAGCAGGGCTGGGGGACAGCCGGCCCCTGCTCAGAGGGGCCCGCACAGTGGCACTGTCCCGTGGCAGGTTGGGGACGGGACAGCACAGCAGGGCGAGACCTGACCCTTCTCTTAGCAAGGCTCGAGTTGCACAGCCGAGCCTCCCTGGTCTCGAGCGCCGAAATGCCGGCTCCGCCAAGAAGGCGGTTTTATTTTGCTGGGTTTTAACAGCGGGAGAGTGGGTGTGCGGGAGGGCTGATAGGATGTCCGTGGTCCGATCCGGCCCTTGCTCACGACAACGGCTTCTGAACACGTTTCGGCTATTGCTGCACTCCCGAGACTATGCTCAGCCTGGTAATCAGGCGTAGTCTGTGTTTTCTGCTTTAGAGCACAATTGTCGCTTCCCTTTCCCGCATCAAGTGGGATGGGATTCGCACTCGGTTTTAACGGGCGCTTCGCATCTGCCAAAGAAGAATACGATCGCCCTTCTATTAATGACAAGTGTCTTCTTAAACTCCCATAAAACAGGTCATTGGAAAATCTGCGAATACCTTGGCTTTTTAATGCACTCTGAAATGCTTCGGAGCCACCGACCGTATTTAGCTGTTTATCCAATTTTACTTTGAGTGATTGCTTCAGCAAACTTGGTGGAGATCAAAGAATCCCTCCCTGACATGTTCGCTTTTCATTAGCGCTGCGCACTGCGGTCCTGGAGCGGACGGGGAAGTTCATTTGGAAGTTTTCCGTTTTGATACCATTTGGCTGAGAAGTGTCCAGATATTTGAAGGCTTTGTCCGTTGCAGTAATTGCCAATTTGACAAGATTCACTCGGGGTGAAAAGGGCGAGGGGGAAAAAAAAAACCAAACCACTCAACCCACCCGACATGCATATGTATGCGCAGACACACTAACGCGCGCCATCCCTAACTTTATATCCATGTTTACATCTGTGTCCCTGGCTCCTCTGATGCGGAAGGGGCCTCCTGAAGGAGTCTTGAGTGCAGAGAGTGGACCAGACTGGAGAAAGGTGTTGGTCCCAGGCTTCCGTGGGATCCACGGCTCCTTGGGTGTTATTTGACTGGGTGTGAGTGGGAAGGCGTTGACCCGCATCTTTCAACGCATCACCTGTTCTCATCTCTTGTTCCCTCCTGGAGAAGGAAAGGAGCATTCTTCTCGGGAAAAACCCAACACCCCGGGTTTGTTGAGAGGGGGATATGCCTGCGAGCGTGACGTGTAACGCGGCCGTGGGGCAGCCGCCCCCTCCCCTCTTTCTCTGCTGCTATAACTTATCTGAGGCGGAGGCGAAGGAGTGAAGTCATCGGGCAACGAGCAAACACGCACACTTTGCCGCCCCCCTACCCCGCTTTGCCCACCCCCCCCCCCCCCCGGCAGCCTCTCCTGCCGGCCTGGGAACCCGGGGAGATTTAGATCTGCGAGGCTTTCAGCCATCACGTGTTTAAATAGTTGATATAAAACCCCGGCGCAGGGGATCCAGGCGGGGGAACTTTAAGACCAGCCCTCTCCAGGGACCCTTTTGTTCAGCTCTCAAACATAAGCACCTTCTCGACTCGCCAGGACTTCAGTGGCAACTTGGCCAAGCAGGAAAATCCCGACTTTCGGAGAGCCGTCCCCGGCCTCGCAGCCCTCCGCAATGTCCCGCTCCTTCTACGTCGACTCCTTAATCATCAAAGACTCCTCGAGGCCGGCTCCGTCCCTGCCTGAGCATCATCACGGCCAGGACTTCTTCATCCCTCTCAGCATGCCTTCTCCCCTCGTCATGTCGGTGTCGGGCCCGGGCTGCCCGTCCCGAAAGAGCGGCGCCTTCTGCGTGTGCCCGCTCTGTGTCACCTCGCACCTGCACTCCTCCCGTGGCGGCAGCGGAGGCGGCGGGGCCATCCCTCTGCTCAAGAGCCAGTTCCCCACCGCGGCAGGCGAGGCCCAGTGCTGCCCGCGGACCGGCCACGCTCACCACCCGCCGCAGCACCCGCCGCCCGCCGCCTCGGTGCCCGCCGCCGCAGCCCTGGGACACCCTACGCATCACCCACCTGCCTGCGCCGCCACCACCTACAGCGTCAGCGACCCCCGGAGGTTTCACTGCCTCGGCATGGGTAGGAGCCCTGTGGCCGCCGGGGAAGGGGGGGCAGTGGGAGAAGGGGGTCCCCCGAGGGAAAGCGGCTGCCCCGGGTCGGAAAGCTGAGGGAGAATGTCTTTTCTCCTCTCTCTCTTTCTCCCTCTCTCTCTCTCTCTTTCTCTCTCTCTCCCTCTTCCCCTTTCCCCGTTCCCCCGTCACGCTGAAGTTCGCGCTTCTCTCCCACCCAGGAGGGTCCGAATCCAGCCAAATTCAAAACGGGAAACGTATGAGGACAGCTTTTACCAGCACCCAGCTCTTGGAGTTGGAGAGGGAATTCTCCTCCAACATGTACCTGTCCCGGCTGCGGAGGATCGAGATAGCCACGTACCTGAACCTGTCCGAGAAGCAAGTGAAAATCTGGTTCCAAAACAGGAGGGTGAAGCACAAGAAAGAAGGCAAAGGCACCCAGCGAAACTCTCACGGGGGCTGCAAGTGCAGCACCAGCCAGGGGCACTACCCCCGGTCGGAGGACGAAGAGTCTCTATCCCCCTCATCGGCTACAGAGGATAAAGAGGTCTCCCCGTTATGAGCCCGGCTCAGAGTTCCGCTGCCGCCGCCGGGTCCCAGCCCGGAGCGGGGTGGCGGCACGGCGGCTCACCTGGCACCTCTGCCCAGGGACGGCAGCCCGCTAACCTGCCCTCCCTGGCCCTCGCCAGGGAGATTAACTGTCATCCCTTTGCAGTAATAGAAAGAGATATATAAATATATTTTCGGAATGTAAATGTTTTAGTCGTGAGAGTTCAACTAAAACGTTATTTATGTAACCCCAGGACAGAGCACCTGCTCTTCCTAACATGTAACATGGGACAAGACTCGCGTGGCCCAGGGTGCCTTCCTCCATCTGCCCCCAAGCAATTTAAAGGCAAAAAACAAACGCATTTGGAACCGATAAGCGAGGCATCAAAAACTGAAAAGCAAACTAAAACCTGTAGAGAACTTTTTGGGCGGACTTCTTAACAAAAATAAGACATAAAGATCGGTCGTTTGGGTTTGGAACGACTGTTTGTCTGTGAATAGTTTTATATAAAAATTATATTTATATTTATTTAAATAAATGAGATCAGACGAGAATTTAATTTTTTCTTCTTATCCCCCCACACCCACTTCCACCTCCAAGCACCAGCCCAGTCCCAGCAGCGAAGGGGACTGGCTGGGGCAAGGTGCGTTTCTTCACAGTTCTTTGTACGGTGAAAGCATCGCTGTATATGTGTCAGATCTCCATAAAGAGCAAAAATAAAAGCCATCGGCTACTAACAGGAATATGTTTTCTCTTCCCCTGCGACTCGGGCCGGCTGCGAGGTAGAGAAGGGGGGGGGGGGGACTCCACTCCAGCCGGAATGCAAATACAGCCTTGTCCTCTGAGCCCAGCAGCTTTGTGTTCCTTCACAGCCAGAGCCAACGCATGCCCTCCTGGCGACTGACAGCTTTCTCCCGTCTGCTCGCTCGGCAACACACCGTCGGGGACACCCACCTGCCACTGGCCCAGGACCGCAGATCCTGGCAGTGGGACTGGAGCGAGGGGCTGCGCGCCAGGATTCCCCGCACCGCCCCGTGTCCCGCCGTGGCGATGCTGCCCGACCCGGTTGCTCCATTCAGCACCACCCAGCTCTTCCCCCTCCGAGGAGGTTGCCTGCGTACATCGGCCCTTCGCCAGACTGAAGCTCTGCTTATGTTATTCCAGGGCGATGTTACACAGAAATAATTGATTTTTTTTTTTTTTTTTTTTTTTTTTTTTTTTTGTCTCAGGCACCACGCCAGTGTCCAGTGTTTTCAGTGTTGATCTCATTCAAATGCTTGGCCAGGTTTAGGGAACAGATCTGAGGAGAAACCCACTCGTGCAGCACCTAACCACAGGCCTCATCCTGCCTCTGGCTTGGGTGACCCATCCCAAGCTCCTTGAACATGGCTGGTGCAGAGCAGGATGGAGCTGGAGCTAGTCAGTCCCAAATAAGCCTCTTTATAACTTTTTTTCTAATTCCTGCCATACTGGCAGACAGCATATGAGCAAATCAGAAGTGCCTTTTGCACGCTATGTTATTCCCCGCTCACTTCTTTTCCTTGGGTGGAAACACAATCCCTCTAATGCAATCTACACTTTTGACTTCAACCTCCAAAACGGTGGCAAAATCTTTTTGGTAAATAATTCTCTCAACAATCCCTACATTTCTCCTGTTTGATCCCTAACTTCAGAGCTTCAGCTCAGAGGTAAATCTCCAATTTGACTTGCCTGCAAGCACCCTGAATGTTGGAGAGAGATGCAGCCTCACCGCACCGACACTTGCAATGCTTGCCTGTCTTGGAAGAGAGGCCAGGTGCACAGACAGGGCTGGGGTAGGATAGAGAGGGCCCGGTGTGGGCACTGCCCCACATCCTGGACCAGCTTTGGGGCTTGGGGCAGAGGCAGTGTCCAGCACAACCACAGTGTGACAGGAAGGGAAAGAAAAAGCAGGACCGATGCTTCTAGCCTGGTCTTAAAAAAATCAAATACAGAATCTCACTGTTCCATCTCACTACCTTAGCTGAGTACAGAGGTCAGCAGCCCAGATCCCATGAGCATCTGGGGATGTTGTTTACCAAAGTGGCAGTCCCCTCACCTGCCAGCCTGGGGAGACCAGAGGGCAAAAGGCTTGAAGTCCTTGTCATTTCCTCCCAGGCAAACTCATGGAGGGTCTGGCTGAATGGGTTGCATCCTCTTTCCCTAAAATCTGCTGAGGTGGTCTCTGGAAACTATCGTTCTTCTGCTTCAGTTCACCTGTGTCTAGCTTGCTTCTATAATCACAATGGGTCTTTTCCAACCTCGAAGCTCTGGGAGCTTATTTACACAAGAAGTCCTGCCCACCCTCTCAGCAGTGTCATCCCATTATGTAAGAGGGGGGACTTAACAGGCCTGCAGCAGCCTGGGAAAACAAAGCTTTGCTGGGTGAGAAAAAGCATGACAGTCTTTGAAATTAAGACTTAGGGATACTGGAAAACTCAAAGATATTTTAAAACTGTAAAGATACAATTGGCAGAGTGTATGTGTTCTCAGTGTAACTGTGGAAACATGCACCTCAGTGAATAAACTGGTATTTCCCTCTGTTTCTAGAAGATACACAATAAGGAGTCTCTTCACTGCAGTATTCAACAATTTCTTAAAAATAAAAAATAAAAGGAAAATGAAGTTATGTCTTATAGTAATCAACGGTTTTGTATGTACCTTTCAAGGGTTGAGAGGTACTAGTGGCATATGATTATTGCACACAGGTTCTGTTGTTGAGACAGTTGCTGTAATCACCAGATTTCGTTTTGTTTCAAAGTGAATGTTTCATGCTAAAAATTTTGGAAAAGAGGAATGGTGCAATGGTTTGCCCTGACATATCTCAAAAGGCTGGTACAACCAGCTCAACCTGAACTTAGCACTAGGCAGTCCAAGTCAGTGTAACAGGAGTGGAAGTTGAGCATACCCTAACTTGCAGTATATGTATTGTAGGGTTTCCATGTGCAACGTTCAACAGTTAGAAATTTAGGCAAATTTACATTAGAATGTGTTGGGGGTTCCTTTTTTTATTTTCCCTTCTCCTTTCTATCCTTTTTTTCCTCCCACAAAGTGTGAAGTGCAGTTTTTCCTCAGTGTCCAAGACAAGCAGTGTTCAGTTCTGTATTTAATATTCCTCTTAGAGTTAGTTATCTATGGAAATAAGGATTATGCAGTTGCTGTGCTTTTCTTTCTGCAAGTCACCCTCATTCCCTCATAACTCATAAACTCTACGATCAATACAAACTAGCCACCCGACATGATAGCTCCACCAGAGTCTCCAAGATGTTGAGTTCCTATGAGTTCTGCAGAGCTGACCAGCGAGCTGCAGGGGACAGACCCGGGAGAGACCTCAGCTGCCACTATTCACTCTGGTAGGAATCAGATAATCCATAACTGGGGGACAGAGGGATGTCTTTTGCCCAACAGCCTGCTGGATGAGGATGTCTGCAGGGGGAACAAGATTATCCAGGGAGGCAAACCTGCCTGAGGCAGACCCTTGAGATAGAGGGTATGTCCAGTAACAGGGCTGAGAACAGAAGCTATAGAGGAGACTGAAGGGCCTGGGGGATATGGGACAGCACCCTGATAACAGCTTTTTTCTTTTGCCACTCAGCGTGAAGGTTGCACTCGTTTCAAGTGCGTTGAATATGTAAAAGCTCTCATTTTCTTTGGTACTTGTCACAGCGATGTTTGAGAACACTGGAAACATGACTGCATATGTCTTCATCGCTCCCGTGGGAGCAATGAATTCGCTTCTCTGTAGAGGCCAAGGACAAAGCCTTGGAGCGGTTCAGACTGGTGTTGCAGTACCGCCCTCACGTCATGAGGCTCCATGCAACTTCCCAGCCTTTTTCCCGTTTTTGGCACGAGATATGATCCAAGCACGGCCCTGACATAATCCAGCTGCAGTTACTGCCCATTATCCACCAGATGTGTCCCACTCCGGGCAGTCAGGAGAAGAGAAGCATGTGGTGTCTGGCTGCGGCTGCCGCTGCTGGAGCCGCTCATCCTGGCATAAACTGGCGGCAGAGGAGCTGCCTGTATCCTGGATGTCTTTCAGGTGTGGGCTGGCCCCGAGCGCCTCACACGGGCTGCCGAACCCTCGGTGCAGCCGCAGTGCCGGGCGCCGCACAGGCAAAGACCCGCAAGAAGGTCGCACAACGGAAGCCAGAGCACTTGTATGAGGGGTGCGAGTTATGTTTGTGTGAGTGACCTCGCTACCGACCTTCTGTAACATGCCGGGGTAGCATTCCTCCTCAGATATTTATTTCATTCCTTTAATTCCATTTAACTCTTCCCGATTAAAAATTCGGAGAAGGAAAACATCCGTCTTGAGGAGTCTCCCTGACCTCAATCTGCCCGGCCGAGATCAGCCCCACTGCACCGACCTCTCCGGTTGTGAAACTCTCGATTGAACGTGCTCCCATACTCTGATAGGACCTGTTTGCCCACGGGCAGTGCCGACCGCGGGCTGGCGGAACTTCGCAGTGCTGAAGGCACCGCGCTCCCCCGTCTGCTCTTTCCAGCCCTGCCCTGGAATCTGGTGTAACGTCTCCCCGCTGTCGGAGCTCTTGCCGCAACGCCCATCGCCGGAGTCTCGCACCTCCGCCCCCGACACGGGGTAGTGCAAACCCTTGGTGGCAGCTCTCTGCTCCCACCCGCGGTGTGGTCGGGGCACCGTGGCAGGACACATCCTGTGCTCCAGGGACCCTCAGATCAAAGAGCTCAGAGGTCCCGGCCGGCTGCTCATCCTCCGTGGAGTGGACAGGACGGACTAGGCCCCATCAGTCGGAGCCCAAGCACTCATGGAGAGCGGGGCTCACAGCGCAGGGACCCCGGGATCCAGGCAAGGGGACTGCAGAAAACTCTCCTTCCTCATTATCCCCGTTTTGGAGATTGAAAGGAGAGGGGACGATCTAACTAATTCCCCTGCATTTATCTATAGCTTGTCCTAATTTCCTACTCCCTCCCCTCCCGCCGAGTGGACCCCTCTGGGACGCTTCCTCGGTGTCGGTGCCTGGCACTGCCCTTGCGGGAAGGGGGGCGGCCGAATCGGCGGCAGAGCTGTGCGGCGGCTCGGCTGCTGCCCGGGGCTCTTTTTCCCTCTTGCACGGCTCAGACGACGGCTGAGCCGTAGGGGAAAGCCACGGCCAAAAAGGATCATGCCCACTGCGGAGTTTGTGTCGTGCCCATGGGGATGAGATGCCCAGGAAGGGACAAATCCTTTTGCCACCGCTCAGGGAACCCAGAGAGCGTCCTGACACTGGCAGGGCGGGGAGCGCTCCCATCCTGAATCCAGGGCCTGAAGATTACCGCAGTCCTTCGGGAAAGAAACGGGGACAAACTCCCCCCACCCTCTCTATTATTATTATTATTATTATTATTATTATTATTATTATTATTATTATTATTATTATTACTACTACTACTACTACTACTACTAC